TCGGCTCACTGCAACCTCTGCTTCCTAGGCTCAAGTAGCTGGGACTACAGGTGCGTGTCAGCACACCCAGATAATTTTTTTTTGTATTTTTTGTAAAGATGGAATTTCACCATATTGCCCATGCTGGTCTCCAACTCCTGGGCTCAAGTGATCCACCTGCCTTGGCTTCCCAAAGTGCTAGGATTACAGGTGTGAGCCACGGTGCCTGGCTTTCAGTTCTTTCTTAATCCTCAGTAGGTCAAAGGCAGAGGGTGCTGGTAGAATGTATGCGTATCCAGAAATGAAATAAAAACAGCAAAGCTAGTTTTGTGCAGCATTTCCAGTAAGGGATTGGTTGAAAGGGCGATTGTGTCATTGCGTGCCTCTAAATGCAATCATCTGTACTGGTTAAAAAACCCCCCAAATCTATTTATGTATAAGCTACGAAATACGAATTCTATAATTTCTGTGATTCTGCATGTGAGCTAAATGCTTCCATTAGTATTGTAAGATGGTATTGCACAGGAATGGTAAGATTTATGCTATCAATTTATGTTTAATTTTTCCAAATTTAGCACATATGAAATAGCAAATAATAACACTGCAAGTCAACAGAGAGACAGCAGGAGAAAGGAAAAGTCCTTATAGTTTAGTAACTTTCCCGGCACCTTCTTTCCTGCTTTTTGGAAAAGGGGCCCAGCATTTTCATTTTGCACTCGTCCATGTGCATTCTGTAACCGGCTTGGTGCCCAGCAAACACTGTCTCCTGCTCACTCCACTCCAAGTCCCAACTAGGGCCGACAGTGCCAAGAATGAACTGTCACTGTGAACTCGGGCCTGGTCCCAAAGAGTTTCTGCTGTGATTCCCATCACTTTTATTTTCAAGGAATTAAGACAAAAACTTCAGGCTCTGTTTGGGGTCAATGTTGTGCCCATTCTCCTTAAGAGGGAATAATAAGTTATTTAATTGTCTATAGGCCAGAGAGCATCATAAGGTACATACGTTTTTAAAAATAAAATTTCACATAACCCCAATATATAACAAAAAGAGAGAAAAAAAAAAAAACCCAACATAGATATTCTCTGAACTGTGTAAACCCTTTGGAAATTTCTATGACAGAAGGTTTAGAACATTCTCTAACGGTGATTTTAATACAACAAAAAGGTCACATCTGTATCTTATTACCTTACGGAGAGTTCCCAGGGACTTTTCCCCAAAGGTGTGTTACAGCCCGCGCTTCCATTAGTAAGGATAGATAAAAGATGTTAACTTTGGATGCTATTCTAAAAAACAAAACAAAACAAAACAAAACAAAAAAAACCCCTTCTCTTTTAACACTAGAGGTCACTCTGCAACCGCAAATGCAAAATAAGCACCCTGGGGCTCCAGAAGGTCAGCACAGCTAATCTGTATAAATTGCTGAACCATGAGCCAAATTTGTACCTAATTACGGGTTGCTTTGATGCAGCCCCACTCCTATTAAAAGTTTCTCTCTTTCCTGCAGAATTGTGGATGTTGTGACTTATATGTTTCTACTGAGCCCTAATATTTCTCAGCTAAGCAGGGGCATTGCAGGCACTGTAACCAAGAACACACATCTCCCTACATTCCAGATTTTTGATGTTCATTATCCAGATGGAAAAGAGCATCTGCTACTTGGGTATCAAATGGTGGTAACTTGGTCTTTATTTCTTTATGAGATTGAGGTAGGGACAGATTTAACACAACCCTGCATGTGGGCGTGCAAAGACCACAGGCACAGCACGTTGCGCAGAAACAATTGACAAATATTTTCAGAGTTTCTTTTTCCTGTTTTTGGAGCTACGCATAAAACTGACTCTGCATCCAATGTATGGAAATAGGGTTATTTGCATCTATTGGGGATCGGAACTCACAAATGGCTTATCAATCGAAAATTAAAATCCTTGTGCAGCATCCCTGGAAGACTTCAATTTCCTTTGGTTAGCTACCCTTTCGGAGTAATTCACGTTATTTCTGATTTGGATTCCTGAGGGTTTGGATATCTGTCTATGCAGTAATTTCATATATAATTGCATGCAAAAATTTGTGCTTTATTTCTTTACTGGCTCCTAATCTTTGGTGTTTTTTTCTGTGATGAATGGGAGTTATGAGGGATCTTCATGGTCTCCTCATTTAGGGAGAGTGGGATTCCTGAGCTGGCCAGGCATAAAAGACCTGAATATCAAACAACGAAAAATAACGGGAATAGTGGAAGCTTGTCACTCTCTGCAATATCTTCCTGAAGCACGGATGGGAATTTTGCGGCAGAGGCAGGTGATACAGTGGAAATGCAAAGCTCTCTTCTTCGGAGGGCGGGCTCAGCTCGCATGCTAGAAGTGCCTTGACACTGGCAGCCTCAGCTGGGGTGGAGGGCAGTCTCCTTGCCGTTCTGCTTAGCCTCCAGCACTTGCAGCAGATGGAGAGCTGGTGTGGATAAAGTGAAGCTGCTGTGCTGCTCCTGGCTCCAATTCCTCACATGCGGGGGTGGCCACGTTTAGAAAGATTTTAGCCCTAGACCAGCCAGACCCCTCCCTCTCTGGATTACGGCACAATCGCATAATCACCCTGACCTCCTCTGTGTTGGATTTTCTGTTGTATTTTGCTTAGATTTAATGCACTCAAGGTGGTTGAAATCATTACTCTCTGTAAGGAGATAACAAAAATACGCTATGGTCACTTATCTTGGCACCTAGCCGGTCCAGCCATCGATTTCCCATTTCGGTTCACAAAGTGCTGAATGGAGCCGATCAATTTAACAGCACCGATGCGACTCAAATATTCTCATAATCTATATTATCAGTGGGCTTCCTTCCTGATGTCCTCATCTGACCTGGTCACCATGGCTTCTTGATCGGAGAAATGAAAGCAGGGATTAGAAGGTCTTTATAACGGGAGTATGTGAGCTTTAGCGCGGCCACTCTGCGGGACTGAGGGTTCATCATGCCCACAGCCCTACTGCTAATGCTTTTAGTAATGTGCATGCTTGGATTTAAATTAGGAGTCCCAATTAGTCTCCTGTATTCTAGCAGCCTGCAAAAACGCCATTTAGGGAGGAACTGTTTAGAAAGCAGGTTTTTACTTAATAAACAGTGATCAATCGAATTGATTAACCATGAACACATTCCCACAGTCTGTGGGTGGCGCTTGTTGTTGATAATTGTGGTTCATGAGTACAAGACTATTAAGCGGCTGCTCATAGACGATTTCCCAGCTCTTTCACCTAAGAGAACTGGGGGCGCGCTCTGGGGATGCCAGCAACTGTTGACAGCACTTTTTGGGTTGGGGCTATGCCTGAGCCAGCCTCTGCCCCCAGCAGGCCTTTGGAGTATCTCTATCAATTGTGGCCATTTACTAGACACTGGCAGACATTTCTGTAAACCTCGCATCTGTTTTTTTACTAATTCACGCGGTAATTAGGTGTTCTCACGCTGGCTTTGTGGCTTTACATAAATGGTAAGTGTTTGGAGCTGCCTGTGCATTAGAATTAGTGCTGTGTTCTGTGCAAGGCTTATTACCACCGAGGCTCTCTCTCTGCTCGCCAAAACGGCAGCTAGAAAACTGGGAGGAGAGCTTCCTGGCAGCATTAGCAAACTAGTAGCCCCTGAAGGGCGATGAGAAAGATGTAAGTGAAGGCGGGTTCGGCGGGAGAGTCCCTGGTTGCACTGCGCGGTTGCGGCGCGCGCCTGGAGCTGCGCTTGACGAACGCAGCCCGGGGGCGTAGCGAGCACCGCCGGGCGGGTTGCCCGGGGCTCCAGGCCCAGCTCCCAGCCCAAGGGACGGACTGTTCTTTGTGGGACAGAGGGGAGAAGACGCCTGCCATTTGGAACCCCTGCTGATGCTCCAGCTCATTTTGGGCAGGTTTCTGAGCCTCTCTTGGCGTAGTTTACCCAATTACCAAAAGTACAGAATAGCAACGCGATGTGTTCTATTATGTAGGTTAGAACGCCCTTTATGCTCTCGGTGCTGGCCCTGAGTAAATGGGAAGCCGCCAGAGGGCTGGGTGACTTTACAGTTGTCTTGACCAAGGACTTCTCGGGGCCGAATGATCTCTTGCGCCCTCTAGCGGTGTATATACCTACTCTCCGTGGAGACCAACCTAGTGGTCGTGGATCTTCACACTGAGTCAATGGCCCCGCCCCAACCCTAGAGGTTTTCCTTGCGCTGGGGAAGCGACCCAGGCCTTCGCGTTTTTTACAAGTGCCCCAGAAGATTCTAATGTGCATCCAAGCTGGAGAACTTCTGCTAGAAACCAAGGCAAGACAGAGCCACACGTGATAGGCGGTAAACCATATGGGCTTCAAAATATGTTTATTACTTATGTGTTTATTTTAATTATTATTTTAAACATAACATTTACTCGTGGGTAGTTTTTTTGTTTGTTTTTTGGTTTTGAGACGGAGTCTCGTTCTGTTGCCTGGGCTGGAGTCCAGTGGCTCAATCTCAGCTCACTGCAACCTCCGCCTCTCAGGTTCAAGCAAATCTCCTGTCTCAGCCTCCCAAATAGCTGGGACTACAGGCGCATGCCGCCATACCGGGCTAAGTTTTGTATTTTTAGTAGAGACAGGATTTCACGATGTTGGTCAGGCTGGTCTCGAACTCCTGACCTCAGGTGATTCACCCACCTCAGCCTCCCAAAGTGCTGGGATTACAGGCGTCAGCCACCCGACCCACACTTACCTATAGGTAGTTGTAATTTGGAAATTTCCAATCCTCTGGGAAGACTCTGCAGATTGCTTGTGATAACAGTAAAATTCCAAGCCCTCCTCTCTCTTTCCACCTTCTGCTAGAGACTGAAGAAACTAAATGGGTACGTGATTTCTTAGTCTCTCTTAATGCAGGGGTGGCCATATGACACAATGCTAGTCAATATGATGTAAGTGTAAGGAAAAGTCCACTCTGGGGTGTTTCTGGAAAAGCCTTTTTCATCCTTTCTTTTTTTCCTGTTAAAAATAGATGTAGAAGATCACCACCCACTTTTCTCTTCTTGCTTTGGATGTAGATGTGATGCCTGGAACTCATGCAGCTATCTTGCAATGATGAGGATGAGGCTAAGAGAATAGGAGAGAGCCTCGCTCAAACAGGGTAAGCCAACCCCAGAAGCAGCTTGCCTCCAGACTTTTTATTATGAGGGAAAATAAATCCCTAAACGTTTAAGCCACTGGTAGGTTATATGTTACTTGCAGTCAAATAATTCATAACAAATATACTTTCAGATGAAACATCATGATGAAATGCTGCCTAGAAGAAAGATGAAAAGAAAAATAAAACTTTTTGAAGTGCATACAATGGGCCAGGCCTTGGGCTTTCACATGCATTATTTCATGCAGTACCAAAGACATTGGTGTCATGATTACTATTTTCATTTGTTGAGAAAACTGAGGTTGAATAATTTTCCTTTTATCAAACTGACTACCAAGTGTCTGTTTAGTATGAAGGAACAATTATGAAATGCAAGAGTCAAATTTCCAGAGAGTTTGATCTGTCTTCAGAGCCCATGCCTTTTCTTGGAATTTTTGCCTCCTACTGCCTCTTGCTTGCCAAGAAGAGATGCTGCAATCAAGCCCTACTGGGGAGGTTGAGGAGGGCAGCCAGGCTGCCTCAGCTGGAAGCAGGGACACAGGGGTGACTGCAGTGCCATCAAGCAGGATATGGCATGTCTAACACTCAGAACCTTGAACTGCCTCCCCATCCCCACAGCACACAGAACAATGTAGTTGGCCCTGGGAAGACTCAGCTGGCCAGGACCTGGAGCCAGCTTCTTACATCAGAGAGAGATGGACAGAGCGGTGCAGCATGGTGGAACCACACGCTGGAGTAGAGAACCTGGGAAGGGAGGGGAGCAAAGCTCCTGGCAACTTCTTGAGGGAATGTTTACTTTGTTTTGTTTTTTGAGACGGAGTTTCACTCTCGCTGCCAGGGCTGGAGTGCAGTGGCGCAATCTTGGCTTGTTGCAACCTCCGCCTCCTAGGTTCAAGAGATTCTCCTGCCTCAGCCTCCCGAGTAGGTGGGATTACAGGTGTCTGCCACCACTCCTGGCTAATTTTTTGTATTTTTAGTAGAGACGGGGTTTTACTATGTTGGCCAAGCTAGTCTCGAACTCCTGACCTCAGGTGATCCAATTGCCTCGGCTTCCCAATGTGCTGGGATTACAGGCATGAGTCATGGCGCCTGACTGGGAATGTTGATTTGAATGATAAGAAGACTGAGGCTCCAAATGAGAAGTGACACCTCATCCAGGTCTGCAACAAAGACAGAGAACTGTGTATTTAATGGAGGGGATGGAGACCTGATATCAGAAACTCATTAGAGACTGCACATTTGAATATCTGTATTATGAAAATGCATGTGTTATAAAAGGGTCGATGCTCTTCATAGTTTGTGGGGTCAACCATTCTCCATCAGTCTGTTATCGTCACATAGGATTGTATTAAAGACCCTCCCCCTCCTCCAACCACTGTTATATATGGCCAGGTGGACATGGACCCTGAATGGCTCTAACATAGAAGACTGAGGTGCCCAGACAGGGCTCACGTTAGACCTCAGCCCCACAGTTAGCCATCCCTCCAGTTGTGTCAACAGGTGTGGCAGCATCCCCTCTCTGAGATAGAGCTGCTGGCTTCTCCTCTAAGCTCCCTGTATCACTGATTCGCACCTTCCCTGACTGGATAGATCATTAAGAGAATTGGTTTACAAGGCTCTTGCTGAGCTGCTGGCTGTGGGAGAGGAAGTAAACAGACGTGAGAGAGAGCTGTAACATATGATGTTATATCCAGTGCTTAATGAGGCCCGTAAAAACAGGAATGCAGGAGCAGCCGCAGATAAATGAACGTGCTTCATGCAGAATCGAGAGTTGACTGTATTTTATTTGATTTAGTTCTAGAAATAGCAGATGTTGTGTCAATTATGGCAAAGTAGTTCTAACTAATCTCTTCACTGAATTCATCTCATTGACCAAAATGGATTAAAAATTATTTTGTTTCCATGATTATAAGTCAATTTTCTATAGAAAATATACAGAAGAATATACTGGAGAATTGAAATGACCCGTAATCCCACCACTAATAATAACTCATAACAATGGATTACGTTTGCAAGTGCTAACTGGTTCCCAGTCACTATCTAGAACCACTCTTCTGTTAGCATGCTAATTAAACCCTCTAGGAAGTAGAGAGAGCTAGCAGCTGCATGCTCAATATAGGGAAACTGAGGCACTGGGAAGTGGGAAGTTAAATGACTTCTCCAGTGTCAACACATTTGGAGGTGGTGGGGTCAGGGTTCTACCTTAGCAGTTTGGTTCTAAAACCTGCTTTTTTTTTTTTTGAGATGGAGTCTTGTTCTGTTGTCCAGGCTAGAATGCAGTGGCGTGATCTTGGCTCACTGCAAACTCTACCTCCTGGGGTCAAATGATTCTCATGCCGCAGCCTCCCGAGTAGCTGGGACTACAGTTGCCTGTCACCACACCCGGCAAATTTTTGTATTTTTAGTAGAGACAGGGTTTTACCATGTTGGCCAGGTTGGTCTCAAACTCCTGACCTCAGTTGATCCTCCTGCCTTGGCCTCCCAAAGTGCTAGGATTACAGGTGTGAGCCACCACACCTAGCCTAAAACCTGCATATTTATCCAGGAAACTCTATTGCCTTTGGTAGAAACCCCTATTAATGTGTTTTCTTTCTCTGAAAATGCATGCAAATATCACATATTTTTACATGTATACACACAAATTGGAAATCATATTCTATATGCTAGTTTGCAATCTGCTTTGTTATATAACTTTATATAATGTTATTATAAATAAGTGTTTGATGGTTGCATGGTGTTCTTTCATACAGAGGTACACTGGGATATTTTTAAAATCAATCTCCTAACCTCAGCATTTATGCTGTTTCCACGTGTTGCTGGTTCATTTTATAAATAATGCTGAGATGAAAGCCAGTTTTATGTACATATCTCAGAGTGAATCCCTGAGTGTTTTATCTAAGTAAATTCCCATAAGCAACATTACTGGGCAAAAAATATGGTCAGTTTTAATGACCTAAATACTTATATAGATTCTTACACAGATTTAGTTTGGCAAGGAGCTTTGACCAAGATGATGAAATGAATGGACTGGTTTCAAATTTGTAGTTGTGATTACAGCTCTACCCTGAGTTGTATGACAGAGATACATTTAATGGGCTGGAAAACAAGTGACATGGTGGTGCTAAGGAACACCAAGAAGCACCGGGGTGGCTTGTCTTCCTTCATTCCCTCATAGTGCCCTGTTAGACACCCTCCCTCATTTGTCTGTCTTCCCTGCCGGCCTGTGAGCGGGAGGAGGATCGTGCACTGACCACATGTCTACCGAGTGTCTTCCCTGAGCCAGGCCCCGGGAGGAGTGAGGGCCCCTGTGCTCACCTGCATCCCAGAACTAGTGTGGAACCGGCTGCTCTGGAAGCCTTGGCAGGACTGCTGAAGCGAACCTCTCCCTCTGGCCTGCTTTCCTCATACTCAGCCTTTAAAACTCGCTTCAGTTGCCTTCTCCAGGGGTGAAAGTGGACATTATGCCAGGCAAGAGTGACAGTATATTCAAACCTTGGGAACATCTTAAAAGGTAGGTCTTGCATTATTACCCCATTCTACAGATGAGGAAGCTGAGGCACCAATAACTTAGTAACTTGTCCAGGACCACACTTCCAGTAAGTGGCTGACTTAGAATTTGAACCTGCATCTGCTTCACTCCCAAGATCTTAGTTTTTCCACTGAACCTTGAGGCTTTTAGGAGACAGGTTTAGCAATTCAGGCTAGGGTTAGGTGTAGGCTTTGGTACTTGTCCTGATTCCTACTGAGTCTGTGTGGCCCAACATTGAGACAGCAGGAACTGGAGCTTCTGCTTGTACCTCTGGATTCAGGTGATGGACGTGGAGGGCCCCCTGGAAAGGAGGAAACCCTCTGGTTGCAGTAACTGCTAGGTTGAGACAAGTGTTTACAATTATTCCCACTGGGCAGCCCTTCACCCTGTTGCAAACAATCTCACTTTGCTTCTTTTAATTAAGGAAGAGACTTTTGTTGATATTACTATTTTTAGCAAAATGGCTTCCACTGCATTGTTGGTTATTTGAAATAAGGAATCCAAGGGCTCCCTTGTTTGATCATGTATCAGTCAGTTTTCATGCTGCTGATAAAGACCTACTCAAGACTGGATAATTTGCAAAGAAAAAGAGGTTTAATGGACTCACAGTTCCATGTGGCTAGGGGGGCCTCACAATCATGGTGGAAGGCAAAAGCACGTCTTACATGGTAGCAGGCAAGAAAGAATGAGAGCCAAGCAAAAGGGGAAACTCCTTATAGAATCATCAGATCTTGCAAGACCTATTCACTACCATGAGACCAATATGGGAGACACCACCCCCATGATTCAATTATCTCCCACCTGTTCCCTCCCACAATACGTGGAAATTATGGGAACTACAATTCAAGATGAGATTTGGGTGGGGACACAGCCAAACCATATCAGATCATTTGTTCATTTGGCTGCTTTTGAGACCTTTCTACATATCAGGCCTTGCTCTGTGCCCTGAGAATCCAGAGGGAGCTCGGAGAGCCTCAAGGGTCTCCCAGTTTAGTGGGGAGACAGACTTGGACATGACTTGCTGGTATGTGAGGCAGAACAGACTGCGGCTCCAGGAACGAAATACTTTGGGCAGGACTCAGAGGGACAGTTGATCTCTGCCAGATGCAGAGTGACTGAGAAAGCTCCTGGGAGAATCTTCTTTGAAAAAGAAAAAGTAAGCTAGAAGTCATCAGCAGAAATGTGTTACTATAGATCAAGCTAAAGGAATGACCAAATCTGGTTTATATATAAATCATTGCATAAGTTAATTGGGCAATATATTTATCAAAAATTTAACCTAAAAAAAAAAAAAAAAAAAAAAAATTTAAAAAGCAATGAATGGCAAGAAATTTACATCACAACTGAGCAACCTTAAAGTGGGCTCATTTTAGTTTCTTTTTGGCCACAAACTAAAAACAGGGCAGGGAAAGAGGTAAATGGGAAGCAACAACAAAAAGAATTGAGTTTTCTTTCTCTGTGCCAGCAACATTTGCAAAGCTCGACATAATTTGTACCGATATTTTCTTGTGAAGTACATGGGGATAACATTTCTTAAAATAATTATGCTCTTAACAGTCCCGCTCAGACTAGAAGCTGGGAAGCTGTACAGGAATCAGAGAATGAGATTCTGAGCCTCTGAATTCCGATGGTCCCAAAGGACCCATAGGTTCCCACTCAGGTCCAGGGGAGCAGTAGCTTTGGCAGAGGCTGGGGGCAGAGGAGAAGAGGTGGGAGGCTGCCGACACGTGGCCCTGTGAGCTTAGCAGTGTTCTTGGAGGCTATGTTTGGTGGGGGGAGGAGTAGAAAGCCCCTGGCGAACACCAGCCTGGATGTCCCTGGACCTGCCACCACTTATGTCTGATATCAGGAGCCCCACAGTCCCAGGACATAGCCAC